CTGCTCCTCCCCTTGCTCTCACATCTCTCTTTCTTTAAAATAAATAAAACCTTTAAAAAATTAATATACTCCTCAAGATCTTTAGCACCTCACATTTGGCTTACTATAACAGAAACAAAGTATATGTTTTGAGTTCCTTCAATGTGTTCTGCAACAGCTCTCTGGTTCTTTAAGCTACTATAACTTGTGCTTATTGCCTAGACATAGGATTCTGACAACCTCAGTTACGGTCACTGTTTTGCTTTCTTGGATACTTCTCAAATGCATTTTCTAATTCTAGACCATGAGTGAACTGAATAAAACTTGTGATTCCCAAATTGCAATGGAAGGAGTGGAAGTACTGGTGATTTTTTTTTTAAACATAGATATCACAGTTTGAAAACCACTAAATACATTTAAATGAAGTTATACAAAGAAATAGGGTGCAATGAGTAAATGCAATGACCACATATGAACAGTCACCTTGACTGTAATGGGTTTTTAGAGACATAAGTAATATCCATGGATATTATATGCCTGTATAGGTATTTTGTATGTTTATTTCATTTTATTTTACTATCTCAACACAAATTTGTATTGTATAGCAAAAATATATACAAAGCAAACTAATTCCAATGATTCTATCTGAAAGGAGTTTTAAACAAAGAGTAAAAGAATCACAACCTTCAATGGTGCCTGGCTGGCTCAGTTGGTTAAGTGCCTGACTTGTGATTTCTACTAAGGTCATGATCTCATGGGTCATGGGATGGAGCCCCAGGGTCACACAGGGCTCCACACTCAGCAGAGAGTCTGCCTGGGATTCCTTCTATCCCTCTCCCTCTGCCTCTCCCCAACTTGTACAGACACGTGCGTACTCTCTCTTTCTCATATAAATAAATAAATCTTAAAGAAAAAAAAAAAAGAATCACAACCTTCAGTTCTAACAGCTACAACAATAAAGAGGAAATCATGCAAGGATTAAGAAAATGGTAATTTCTGAAGAAGCCAAATAAGATCTATTATTGGAAAATACCCACTCTATGTTCTTGTATTTTATATATCCTAGGATGGAGTCTTGTCATTCTACCCAAGAACGACAAAGAGAAGACAAAGAGAGCTCACCAACTCTGACTTAAGACTTCTTCACATTAGCAACTCTTGGCATCAAACTCACCCTAGCCATCTGTAACTGCTGAGCTACTAAAACAACCAAAATTTATTTTGTCCAAAACTGATAGACAATGCAACAAAATGAGAAAATTACTTGAAGGAAGGAGGAAAGGGAGAAAAAAAATCAATCACGGGAGGGAATTTCAGAGAAAACTTCCAGCTCACAACAAACCACAAAGAAACTATTTTTTTTTTTTTTTTAATTTTCATGGTTTTCATGCTAATATCAGGAATGAGTTATTACTCTATCTCCCCTTCAACTAACTGTTTTGCTTCAGGATTTCTTACTATCTCCCAAGTCTCCTACCTCATAATTTCTTTTTAGAATTTGGATGTGTACTCTGAGATAATTTGCTACTTAATTTTCTAAGTAATTAACTTAGTGATTGTCCTTACCTAGAATTTGCCACACGTATTTACAGATATTACATATAATTTCTATTATACTACTCCTAAGGTCCATCACATATATCTGCAAGAATATATACGCCTGTCCTTCAGTCCAAGGTTCTCCATCTCTCAGGTTGTCTTCCAACCCAAAGAAGAGAAATCACTGCCCCATCTCATGGCTTAAGGCAGTCTAACAGTGCCATCAGCTGTTTGGTTCAGCAAAGGCTAATGAGTTAGTTTCAGGGTTAGGAGTAGCAAAGGAGATACAGGAGACTCTAAAAAACCATTCAAATCTCGCTTCTAGGAAGGAATATCAGGAGTCCTGCCTGCAGACAGCCTCTAACAGTGAGCTGCTTTAGGTGCAGAGCCTCTTGCCCAAGGTCACACTCCCTCCCAGGCTGGCCCATACCCAGTATCAAAAGGATGGAGTATAAAGACGTGGTCATCTTTGCCCAACTTGGGATAGCTCTGAAGGGCCATTCTAGCTCCAAGGTTCCACATGGAGTTGGCCAAGGCTGTCACAGCTTAACTTCTCACCTCTGTCCAATCCTTCCTCTTTTCAATCCAATTCTTTCCCCTCTACCTTCCACAAGTGCTGATCCTAAAGGCACTCCTTACTAAATATCCTGTATGCTGAACTCAATCCAGAGGAATCCAACCCACAAATAGGCCAAGAGCACTGAAACTTCACTGACCGACTAAGCCACCCTGGCGCCCCTAACCAATCAGTTTTTAAGAATAAATTCCTAGAAGCCAAATGACCAAATCAAGTGACAGAAATTTTTTTTTTAATTCTTCAAACATATTACAAACCAGAAAGGCTTTAAAAAAAAAGAAAACTTTTTTAGGAAATCTTTTTTTCCTTCTGTTTCAAATTCATCTGACATGACAGAAAATGTTTTTTAAGAATAAATCCGTAACAGTAATGATAAAGTATACCATCTGCAGATCAGAAATGTTTAGGAATTCCTATAAGGCAGAAAGCAAGACTGTATCACAATGACAAATAAGGACAAAAAGTACAGTCCAAAATGTACACAAAACAGATTCTACCATTTTGTACTTCAAAAGTAGAAGCAGTTTTTCACAAGGAACCCCAAGCTCAGAAAATTTCACACAAAGAAGAGGACTCAGTACTATAACTAAAGAAGTGTCTTCAGAATAATGGGCCAATAAGTCCCCTACATACCTATACCTGAGCAATTTACTCACATGTTCACTGTATGGCTTATGTGTACTCCCTAAAAAGTTATGGTTTATAATCTGTTCTCCAAAATTAAATGTCTATTTGGCTGGAGCTGGAGATTCTCACCTTGCAGTGGGTTCCAAAGAGAGAAGTAGGAAGCAGCCTGAGCTAACAATGTCTCCATAAACTGGTGGTAGGGGTGATGGGAGTGTGGACAGGCCTACTAGAGTTGGGCTCTAATTTTGAACTTACAGGAAGATGGCGAAGAGTGGACAGAAAGAATTCAATAATTAGTATGTAAAAAGGAATTTTTCTGTAACTTGGAAATATGGTCAATAAAGACTCAAGGAAAATTAAAGAAAAAAATCAAAGAAACAGAAGCCATCAACTTGAAATACTACAACATACTAAAATACATACATACATACATATATATATATACACCTCTGCATCCATTCTCACCTTCCTCTTCTTCCTATTACAAATAACTGAACTACTGCCTAGCTATCAATGGCCAGTTCATCTACATGACAGTAAATGGGTCTCAGAGCACCTCTTTTCAAGGACTTAAATCCTTAAGTTACCGTTCTCGGCTCCCATCTTATTAGATTACTCCCTGCCAGCTAGTTTGCCACATGTCCCACCTTACCTCCAAAAAAAAAACCAGGAAAGAATAAAACAAATATCCCTAGACTCATACCCTTACAGCCAACAATTTTATAAATGGAAAATATAGTTAAGTTCATGGGTTAATAAAGTTTTAAAGAGTATTATATATATGTATATATGTGTGTATATATGTACACACACACACACACACAAATAGCATGCTCTCCAAGATGCAGAATTAAAAAATTATATTGTAGAGAGAATTTGTGTATTTTTGTTTAAAACAGTTTCCTTTAAATAAGTTAGTCTTAATTAAAAAATCTAACAGTGTTAAGTAATTATTAATACCTATTATCCTGAAGCCATTTCTTAAGTACTAACCAGCTTCACATAACAATCTCCAAACCCCTTTATCTCTGGCTTTTCAGATCAGAAGACTGAAGCTCTGGGGTCATATATACATTATGCTAACAATAATGCCACTGTAAACAATGGAGATGAGCTGAGAAATAAGCCTAACTTCAAACCCCACATATATTAAACCTGTCTCAAACAAAAACTGAATTTTCACTAGGAAAAGTGCTCACTTGACCTAATATGAAAGTGGCATTATAAAATATCAACATTAAACAGCAACAATCCTTCAGTCCAGCCCTGAAACATGACAGCTGTTCTGCCCACTAAATAAAGTTGTGGAAAACAAGTATACTATGTTTATCTGGTCCACATACAGATGTTCACTATCATCAGAAGGTTAAAATGTTCTTGTTTATAAGGATACAATTTTTCTTTGCTATGGGTTTTGCCTTTGATATTGGAAGAGTGGGTGGTATTTGGGGGTGCTTTCTCTTCCTAACTGAATTGTGGTCTGCATCAGCAGCATGGTACTACAAAAGGGACACATCTTAGGGGACTGTCTTGAATTATTTAACTCATTTTTTACAGGAAAAAAATTTCAAGTGAATAAAAAACCTGTTTTCTCCAATGCTCAAGCTCATTATATGATCGTCTCTCTGCACTGCTTATCTTTACAATGACTACAGACCAGACTTTCATTCAAATTATTTTCTAGCTAAAATGGAAGTTTTACAGTCAGGATAAAGAGGGGAAATATTGAGTCTCTGTTACTTCTTCAAAGTGTCGATCCATGGCTCACCTTTTATTTGTTTTTTCTTTAAAGATCTTACATTTTAAGAGAGCAAGCAAGCAGAAGCAAGGGGGTGAGACAGAGGGAGAAGCAGACTCCTTGCTGAGCAGGGAGCCCAATGTGAGGCTGGATGCCAGGACCCTGGGATCATGACCTGAGCCAAAGGCAAATGCTTAATGACTAAGCCACCCAGGCACCCCTATGGCTCACTGTCTACTATGATAGAGCTTTTAAAGGGCTTTTAAAGGGCAGGGATTTTTCACAAGGTAGAACAAAATGGTAGTGCACAGGTAGGTGATGGTTATCAGTTACACTGGTCAACTTACTGATAATTTACATAGAGTTACATGAATTTTTCACATTTCTATCTACCCCATTTTTCTTCCTCATTGTTTAGGATGTTCACAAGCTTACAATTTCTTAGAAATAAAAACGGTAGTATCCTTGGTAGAATACAAACAATTATAATTATTTTAAATATATATAAATTAAATAGTAATGAATAAGGGAAAAAATTACCTTTTGGATAATCTTCCAATAAGAGGTTGAAGTGACCTAATTGACAAAAGAAATCAGACTCCACTTTTCCTTCAGCTTTTAAGATTAGAGATTCGTAGCAGCGAACAGCCTAGAAATAAAAAATACAAACATTTAAGAAAAAGGTAAAACCCTAAAATGTATTCCCTTCCTGAGGTAATGCGTATCCTCTATTCAATCACCCAAGAAATCAATATATTTCATTTCAACCTCAGACACAGTCAATGCAGTGTTCTTTAGATACCTAAGTATTTATCTGAAGAGCCACTAAGTCATGGCATAAGTGCTTTTCCTATCTAAAAGAGAAATACTTGCCAAATACAGAGCACTTTGATAACTTTATTCATAAGCTGCACATCTAAACTATTATGGTGGTACTTGTTGATATAAACAGATAATATCCATCTTTCCCACACACTGAAAGAACTTTATTCAATTATGTAAAAATTCAGATAATCTCCAGAGTAAGAATAATAGCTACCATCTATACTGAACAACTTTTTGTCATAACCTCTATCAGTTTAACCTACCATAAACTGCCTTTCAAGCCTCTTCTCGTGATGTGCTTTAATCCCACTCTAACTCTAGTCTTCATCTCACCCTTACTCGAATACATGTAAATGTACTCACTCTCACTATTTCTTCCCTGAATAAAAAAATAACATACTATTTTAAGGATATTATTCTTTTTTTTGTAATCCCAGAGACTGCAAGAGAAAATGAACAATGGAAAGAACAGACTTCTGGAGTCTTAACAAATTCCAGTTCTCATTGGCTACAGGAGATCCTGGGGAACTTATCCTCTCTGCCTCTCCGTTTTAATAACACTCAGAGGGCAGACAAAAGGATTCAATTCAGAATACTTCTCTAAGCATTTATCACACTGCTTAGCATTCCATAGGTACTTAATAATTGCTTCTTTACTTTCTCCTTCGGTAAGTAAAAAGCTCTCTTTCAGGATTATTTCAAGCTTCCCAAATAGTTTTGTCAAAAGTTACCTGCTAACAATTTACAATGTTCTTATGTGTTAGAATGTGTCCTGGAGTTACTAAAGAAAGAAATGTATAGGATTTCTCAAATCTCTGGGTACATTCCCAGATTTGGTACCCACAAAGAAAGGAACTAGAATAGTTTCTGTTACTAAATAATCCCTTTCACCATCACTTCAAGAGCATTTGATGCAAAGTACCCACTTAAAATGTTTTGATTTTTACTCTCTTGTAAAATATAGGGCCTCTGATGGACAGTTTCAAAATGTATATCCTAAAATTTACCTATGCAAAGCACATACATACATACATACATACTCATCAAGTTTGGAGAAGCCATCCTAAACAAGACAAATTCTGGGATGACTTTACTATGCTTAAAGCCTGACATTTTACAAAGGGCTGTCTTCAGTTCTTACTCCACTCTTAGCTATCTACATGTGCATATGTACCAAATCACAACCATGAGAAACTATTCATTCTGCTTCCCTATAATTAAAAGAGTCTGAATACTACACTGAAGTGTCAGAAATTACTATAATTTGGAGGCATGAAATTTCAAGATCCTATTTACGTCATATATAATCCTATCTGGCAGATGGTTAAGTGCACAAAAATACAATATATTTCAGTACTTTTTAATAGCAGAGAAATTCACAAAATTACTGGGCTACACCATTACAATTCTTAATTTTACATTAAATGAGTGACTTTAAAGCTAATGCCACTGTAAATTAAACACTCAATTAAAATAGTTATTTTTTTTCTTAAACTCTTAGTTATTTAGAAAACTTTCCTACTCCTCCCTGGTAATTTCTTATTGCTGATCAGCATTAAATTTATAAGCAAATATGGTTTGATAGTGAAAAAGGATTCAAGATATAAACATGAAGAAATGTAATGATTTAAGCAAAAAGATGGCAACACCTATACTTCCGTCTTACCACCATACCTTAACTCCACTACCAGGATCACTTACTGCCTTATCTTCCACTTCCCATAAAACAAAGGAACACATCTAAAATGAATACTATACATAACTCTGATTATCATAAAGCATTAACATAAGGTAAAAACCAGAATGGGCAGATTTTAAATTCGCCTACCCATACTCTCAAGCTTCATTAACAAATTCATAATAATTTCCAACAAAGCCAGCACACACCTACGAGCTAATGTTGGTGGTCAAAGATGATGCTGATAGAGCCAAATACCAAATGGGATGAAGATGAGCAAAACGTCAGAATAAAGTTTCCAAGTGCCTTGTGTCACCATTTCATAGTGAAACTTCATGAATTTATTTGAAGTGTTTGAGGTAAATGCTGATATTAGATACAGGCAAATACTATTTTTTAAAGAGCATTTAAAGGAAAATAAATAACTGGAGATAATTTCCAATACTCTTAACTCATACAATAATCCAGAATGAGACAGTATTTTTATAGTAACATTTTTAGTCAAAAGGCTAACTACAAACATAGAAGATAGGTTTGTTTTTTTTTTTTTTTAAGATTTTATTAATTTATTTGACATGTAGAGAGAGATCACAAGTAGGCAGAGAGGCAGGCAGAAGAGAGGGGGAAGCAGGCTCCCCGCTGAGAAGAGAGCCCGACTCGGGGCTCCATCGCAAGGAGCCTGATGTGGGACTCTATCCCAGGACGCCGGGATCATGACCTGAGCCGAAGGCAGCTGCCCAACCAACTGAGCCACCCAGGCATCCCTAGAAGATAGTTTAGATTTAGAACAAAGTTTAGGAAACTTCTATAAAGCAAAAATGTTTACTGTTAAAATGGTTACTTTTATATTCTTGCTCTTTTTACTTGAAATGTGCACGAGTAAAATCATCCCCACGTGTACACACGTGTGGAGGAAGAAAAAGGACTAGAATATAAAACAAATGTTAAGAATAGAAAGTCATGTAGAAACTTTGTTATTTTTACTTCCCTATATTTTCTAGATTTTTCATAATTAACCTATAACATTTCTATTCTCATAAAAGTCATTTAAAGAATTATTGTGATTTCCTCTAGGATTCACCCTACCTTCAATGTGAGGATAGTCAGAAATTTGCATTTAAATCATCTTTGTTTATATCAGCATCATTCAATAGAGCACTTTCTACAATGATAAAAATGTTCTATCATCTGTGTTGCCCAATAAGCTACCTACTAGACACATGTGGCTACTGAGCACTTAAAACATGGCTAGCAGAAGTCAACAAGTCAATTTTTAAATTATTTCAATTTTTATTTCTATTTAAACAGACACATGTTAATGGGCAGAGTAGAGCTAGATTTTTTTTTTTTTTAAAGATTTTATTTATTTATTTGTCAGAGAGAGAGAGAGGGAGAGAGAGCAAGCACAGGCAGACAGAATGGCAGGCAGAGGCAGAGGGAGAAGCAGGCTCCGCTGAGCAAGGAGCCCAATGTGGGACTCGATCCCAGGACGCTGGGACTATGACCTGAGCCAAAGGCAGCTGCTCAACCAACTGAGCCACCCAGGCGTCCCTAGAGCTAGATGTTTTTTAAAGTTTAAAACTAATTGAATATTTGATCCCTATGCTACATATCAGGAAAGCAAAATTTCTGTTTATAAATGAAAAGCCTATAAAAATAATGAAGTATCCTGCACTGGGGATGAACAATGCCTTTCACAAAAATCACTGTTACATCCTATGGTTGTTTATAGTTAGTGACATATACACCCATAATCCCTACCACCTACTGGAAAAAACAATGAGAATGAAAATAAAGTTAATCGTTAAATACCAGAATCAAAGGAGAGTACACTAAGATCCTCCCAGCTAGGTAGAGAACTTCAATGTCTTCCTCCCATTACAGTACCATTTTCCACAATGTTTAATATAATTTATGCTCAGTATCTGCTTTATTTTTATTATCTGAAAAATCAGTTATCTCAAAACAGTGATATTATCATTACCCTCTATTTCTAAACCTTGATAAATGAAGCTTAGAGCTTATGAACACAGACGTGTAACATGTGCTGTTTTAATGTTAACATTAAAAATGCTTAAACATTATAGTCTTGTATGATGAACTGGTCAGGGCTTACCTAAAACAGGACACTTGTTAATATTTTAGAATTGTTAAATATAGGCAACTTTTAAATAAATGATTTTTCTTCCAATTTAGGAGATTAGCTAAAATAGAGAAAATTAATGTAGATTTACTTATTTATTTTATTTATTTATTTATTTTGAAAATTAATGTAGATTTAAATACCCAATGATTTTAAACGAAAAACTTTTAGGTTGACTATAATAAAGACAAGCATGCAGTCCTGCCCTTAATTCTTAAAAGCCAGCCACAGATACACAAGATGGTTCAGCAGCCAGTTGACTTACAAAAGAGGATTGTAAGGGATTTAAGCAGACTACAGGTCAACATGTCATCCATGAAATATGGCTACTAAAAAAGCATTCATGACCCAAATTAATAAAGCATATTATACAAATCAACACCAATAATCAGCTTGCCAAGGTCTACTCTGACCAGATCTCTAACATTATCACAGGTTCTGAGTGCCACATTTTAGGTAACTTACAGAGGGCTACAATTTTGATGAAGGATGGAAAAACTGTATGAAAAATATTTTAACTAAGTTTAACTGGGGAGAATCATCAGGGATGCTAAAGCTTTACTCAAAAATTTAAAAAGTTGGGGCACCTGAGTGGCTCAGTGGGTTGGGCCTCTTCTTTTGGCTCGGGTCATGATCTCAGGGTCCTGGGATCGAGCCCCGCATCGGGCTCTCTGCTCAGACGGGAGCCTGGTTCCCTGCTCTCTCTCTCTCTCTCTCTCTCTCTCTCTCTCTCTCTGCCTGCCTCTCTGTCTGCTCGTGATCTCTGTCTATCAAATAAATAAAATCTTAAAAAAAAAAATTAAGAAGTTGTCTCTTCAGAAATGATTATTTGCACTCTGCGTAGCTCCAGGCATCACACCAATGAATGGGTGTAACTTACAAGAAGTTTAATTCTGTTCAATCAGAAAAGAGGAAAACTTAAATATGCCAAAAATTAAATGGGCCATCTTTGGCTTGTATCTGTACAAAGAATTAAAGCATAAATTATTAAGCTATCTTAGTG